TATATATATGTAGCCTATCTGTGGCATTAAAATGTCATGGGGGGAATAATTTAAAAAATATCTAAAAAGGCTCCTTAAAGGGAGCAATAATGAATAAAAAGAGAGAGAGAGATAGGGAAAATCCTGCCCTAGATGACTTTGCTTTAGGAATTTAAATTTCCTGGAAAAAAGACACTCAAAAAATGACATCTTAATTGTGACTACCATTTACTCCTGATATCATGATAGCATTTTTAGAACATGATAACAACATTATTCCAGACGCTGGCTGTTCCTTGACCAGAGGCATCTGTCTAAGGGGCTTTGGAATTAAAATAATAATCATAAAGAACTTCAGTTCTCCAGGGAGGAGAGGGGAAGAAAGTAAAGGAGCAGTATGCAGGGGCTGTGCCCAAACACTTGTCAAAACAGAATCAATGAAAAAGAGGCAGGCCAGGCAGCTTGGCATTCTGGGTGCCCTGGATGAGTGTGCAATCACACAGGTGGCCACACTGAGCTGTTTCTGTATGGGAACACCCACAGCAGGGCCTGGGAAGAGACAAGCAAGCCCTGCAGAGAAGCAGTGACTGCCCTGCCTCATTCCCTCCCTCCTCTAGACTTGAAGACATACATCTCCTCTGCCACTTGAGGTAAGACCTTGCTCCTGATTCTTACATGATTTCTCCCTTACAGATTCCCACTACACCAGTAGCTGGACAGTCACTGAGAACCAATGACAGGGTCTGTAGGAATTGGCTCTTTGTGAATGCTGCGATACATCTGCATTCTGATGGAGGGGCCAGGATGGTAGAAAGAACTCAAACCCAAAGCAGACAAGCACCAAAGAGCTGGGGGCACCTAGGAAGAGTGGATTTGGTGCTGTCCTAGAAAGTACACCCGTGGACCCCCAGAGTTATGTGGTAAGCCTGGCTCTCCTGCACTGATCTCAGACTGCAGGCATTGTAATGTTCACATTGCATTTTCAGTGATATTCATGCAGTATCTGACTCTTTTCTGATACTTTACAGGCAACCCAGACCCCCTGTGGCTTTTATATCTATGGTAGTAGGAAGAATTCTGTGTTGCACTGCAAAACAGCCAGTTTGGTAATGGAGCAACATCATGGCCAGAGGTAGAACCAATGCTACCCAGCACCTCCTGGAGAGAAGTGGTGGCCTGAGGGGCACAGGAAGAAGGTCTCTGCAGCCACATCTGGGTGCTGGAGGTAAGGAGTGGGGGGCAAGCACAGTGTCAGACAGTAACAGCTCCTGTCAGTAAAGAAGACTCCCATGTCACTGCACTCAAGATGCAATAGGACTGAGAGGAGCCCTGCGCCAGCTCTGGCCAAGTAGTGCACATGGACACTGCAGCAGGGTCCCCACCAGTGCACTGCTGGCAATGCTCAGGACCCTGTGAAGAGGCGCTCAGAGGAAAATTTCCACTCCTACTCATGATTTTAACACGTGCTTTTAAAATGCTTAGTGATACTTCTATTTATTTTTTTCATTTTCTTAATGTTTTTGACAAATTTGTTTCTCTTATAGAGTCATCTCAGCAAGATGGCAAAATAAAGTGAATTTCCTCCCTTGTTTATGCATGCATTTATTGATTTATTGAATAGCAGCAATGGGTGATTCCCATGCTATGTGGTGGGCTACTCTCCATCCTCACTCTTGGAGAAGGTGGGGCAATCTGGGGGTTTGTGTCTTAAACACCACACAAAGTAGCAGCTGGACCAAACCTCAAGCAAGTGAATCTTAAGGGGAAGGAACCAGAGAGAAGGGAAAAGGGAGCTAGCTTATACTTTATGCTTATATAACACCAGACACTGTGCTAGGGGTTTGGACAGGGGCTTCCTATGAGGTCAGTATCCTGATTTCCTTTGTGCAGATGGGAAACTAAAGCAAAGAAAGTGACTTCTCCAGGGTCACTCCTTCCAGCCCATAAATATAGACCTGGGATTTGAACAGAGGTCTGTAGGTACTAGAGTAGGATACAGTCCCTGCTTTCTACCTGATCCCCCACAACTTCTAAGATTTGATCACGTCCTGAGAATATGACACACTCCCTCTAACACAGTCACATCAACCATCATCGTAGCCTCCTCTTGCCTTTTTTTGTAGAAGTGTTATATCTCTTTGAAGAAAGATCTTAAAGATCTGAAGTAATCCAGAGGATAATACTTGTGTGCCCACCTTACTTTATCACCAGTGCACAGGTACAGCAGCTTGAACACAATGCTCTACTTCCTGAGCACAGGTAAGTGCTCAAGTATGCTCTCCACACTCCATCCACCCACAAAGTAAAAGTTGAATGATTTATACATAATGCCGGGGTGTTACCAGTGGATAACTTCAAGGTAACCCCAGAGCCATCCTATAGCTCCTCTCTTGGGAAAGCAATGGAGTCTCAGAACATCTTGAATCTTAAGTTGCTGGATGTCTACACGTAGATCTTCCAAACATATCTGAACCACACACTGCTTGGAAATTCCTTGAGTAAGGTGGAGAGCTACACAAATTGTCTATTTTTAATCTGCCCCTTTCAATGTCATGGTTTGGACAATGTGTCACTATAGCAATGTCACTCTTTTACTTGTCTCATCCATGGTGCAACAGATGGAAGGCTTTGCTTCTTTTCACCTATAGTTACCTAGATATGGATAGTAATTTCCTCCCAGAGACCTGCAGTAGATGGACAGTAGCAGAGGAGGTGAGTGCAACAGCAAAGCTACACAGGGGCTGAAGGATCAGGTGAAGAGGGATATGAGGCTTCCCAGCCTGCTCTTAGTCTCCTCACACGCCCCTGACCTTAAAGTTGATTATGAGTGGTAGGAGTTGTTTGTTTGTGCTTTGTCTAGAAATTTAAGACTATGTACTCATTTAAAAGTGACCTGCCAGCAAAGTACAAGTGTGGCAACCACTGTACTTGCACAGCTCAACAGGATCCCTTTTCTCTATAGTGGGCCCCACCTACCACCCTGTCCTACCCATTTCTTAGTGCTACTCCAGGCCTTTTACCTTATACATGACCCATTGTATGTGGTTAATTCTTAAATACAACAGTCCATTAAACTGTCTTTAATTAAAAGGACAAAGATTTTTTTTTTTTTACAGTAGAATTAAATCTCAGATAATTGCTATATCTGTTTTTCTTTTGTGTGGATGCAAAATCAAATTTCAGAATGAAGAAGGCTCAAAGAATGTATTTGGAAGCTTTCCTTCCTCTTCTCTTTTTTAGAATAGGTGGAGGAGATTTAGGTATTAACACTTCCTTAAATGTTAGGCAGAATTCACCTATGAATCCATTTGGTCCTGGATTTTCATTTTTTGGTAGTTTTTTTTTATTATCAATTCAATTTCATTACAATTAATTGGTCTGCTTGGATTTTTATTTCTTCCTGATTGTTTTAGAAGGCTGTACTTTGCTAGGAATTTATCAACTTCTTCCGGGTTTTCCAATTTGTTGGCATATAATTTTTAGTAGTATTCTCATAATCTTTTGTATTTCTGTGGTGTCAGTTGTAACTTCTTTCTTGTTTGGTCCTTTCTCTTTTTTCTTGATGAGCCTGGCTAAAGGTTTAGCAATTTTGTTTAGCTTTTTCAAAGAACCAGTTCTTGGTCAATGATTTTTTTTTTTTAAGTCTCTGATATTTATTATTTTCTTCTTTCTACTTCTCTTGGTCTTTGTTCTTCTTTTTCTAGTTCCTTTAGGTGTAGTAAGGTTAGACTGTTTATTTGAGCTTTTTGTTGTTTCTTGAGGTAAACCTGTATTGCTATTTATTTCCCTCTTAGAACCACTTTTACTGTACCCCATAGGTTTCAGACCATTGTATTTTCATTTTCATTTATTTCCATGTACTTTCTGATTTCTTCTTTTGTTGCTTAGCATCCTGTTGTTTAGCCTCCATGTGTTTGTGTTTTTTTCAGTATTTTTTTTCAATAAATGGTGGAAAAACTGGACATCTACATGTAAAAGAATGAAATTGAACTATTCTGACACCATACACAAAAATAAACTGAAAATGGATTAAAGATCTAAATGTGAGGGGCGCCTGGGTGGCGCAGTCGGTTAAGCGTCCGACTTCAGCCAGGTCACGATCTCGCGGTCCGTGAGTTTGAGCCCCGCGTCGGGCTCTGGGCTGATGGCTCAGAGCCTGGAGCCTGTTTCCGATTCTGTGTCTCCCTCTCTCTCTGCCCCTCGCCCGTTCATGCTCTGTCTCTCTCTGTCCCAAAAATAAATAAACGTTGAAAAAAAAAAATTAAAAAAAAA